CCATTACATCAGGTGAGACGAGGACAGGAACAGGAACAATAACAGTACAAGTTAATATGGATACACTACATTATACTCTAGGTCATGGGGCATCATTTGGCTGTTAGGCTTCTTCCACATCATCAATCAACAAACCAGTGTAGAGTCTCACTGTTATAGATATAGGACATAAGGAGTCAGAATCTTGGCATATTTCCATCTATTGATTACAATGTACAATCACAATTTGAACATAATACTGGCTCATGTCAGCCTGAAATAAATTATTATTGATATTGATTATATATGAGACTTCAAATAAAATCCACATATAAACGTTTTGATCGGTAAATTGTATTTTGAAAACAAACTCTTTTTCAAAGACATATTCCTGTCTCAACTACGAATATAACAAAGTAAGAAGAGGTGTCAGCATCAGGCTATGAATGCTCCTAATCTCGTCTGTTTCAACTAGCCAGCGTGCAGCCATGCTAACAGAGCATTACATTAGTACGGGTGTCTGTATAGGTGCTATTGTAGGACAGTAATGAAAATTAGCCACAGGTGTAAACCCCACAAGGTGTGATGAGTGCACCTCAAACATAATGACATCTGCATAGACCAGTGCACAAAAATGTCCTCACAATGGCAACATACTTCTCCTAAATGAAGACTAGGCTTTAATTACTGAGCTTAAATCAAGCTGATGTAGTAATTACCAGCAATTCTCCTTGGACACTGTTCAAAAGTAATTCAACATGAGAGGAAGAATCTGCATGCTCATAATGCAGCACGCAAAAGGACACTAAACTGTCCCTCTCCTCACAGCATCTGAGGCTCACGCCGCTAAATGGCCATATTTAGAACACCTACTGTTTGGGCATAAGACAGTAGATCACTTCCTGTTGGTTTGTTCCTCAGAGTCCTGAGCGGCACATCTCTAAATATAACAGTGAGACCCGATGAAAGACTGTGTGGGGCTTATGCTGATGTCATACACCCCTTACATAGATCTTCATATATTAATTGACCTTCCACTTTAACAAGCGTGTGTGTATGAGTATGTGGGCGGGTGTTGGCTTTAAATATGGCTACATGTTGTTCACATAATTTCCCTCAGGTCATCTGAGCTGGCTGCCTTCTCCTTTTTACATTAATTGCTAGCAATCTCACAATTAAGCCCCTCTCACAAGTGAATGCTATCTCTGTCCTAATCTGCAGCAGTGGCAACCTCCGCTCCTGGATTAGCTCACTGCTCGTATTATGTAGCGGCCCTGGGGTGATCAGCGACAACTACAGCTATTTGTACCACTACAAAGCCATACCTTCTAGAACCGCAGAGGAAAAAGGCTGTCCATGTCTTGATAATGTGAGCATTAGGCAGAGCTTTAGATAAAGCTGATTATGGCCTTCTCAAAGACAGCGTTTAACAGGCAGAGGGCCAGTGGCTTCAGTGACATCGGGTAAATACTGTGACAGCAAAAGCTAAACATTCTGGCTTTATAAAAAAAAAATAAATGTGAAAAATAAATGAGTCAATAGCAGACTTTTAGTCAATTATTATTATTACCTATGTTCCTTTATCACCATGTAGCAGTGGCCAGCCCTGAGCTGATCAAATCATTCTAGATAAGGCTCTTGAGACTATCTCACATACAATTGTACATTAAACCCAACATTAAGCTAATTTTAATGATTCTGGTGGCTCCTTAACTTCAAATAAATTAAAAGAACTCTTGTTCAATCAGTTATGACAAGAATTCTGGATCCATCAAGTCACATCTCACTCAGACTTCCATGAATGACGCAGAAACTAGATTTGTGTGGTATTCTTGCACACACATTCACAGTCCAGTGAAAAGGTTGCATTTCCTGCTTTCACTTCCCGCTCTTTATCTTCCTTGGCCTTACAGATGTGGTTACAGCTGTGCTCTATCCATCTCCCTCTCCTCCTCCATTCCACTTGTATTTAGTGTGTGATTTCCTGGGCAAAGAGGATGCTTCTCTTTCACAAGGCATCCTTCACTGGGAGATGCTCTCTGCAAACACAGGCTGTACGTCACAGAGCTTTTTCCTCCACTCAAGCCCTGACGTTCCTCTTCCTCCGTCACACTGCTGTGCACTCACTCGCATCTTATTTACCCCTCATTCATTGATACAGATGCCTGTGATCTTTGCCACCATCCATCTTCTTACCCAGTACTGGAGCTGTCGGACTTCCTGGTGCCTTTCTTTTACTCATTTAACTCTTCAGTGTAAAAAAATCTTTAAAATCCTAACTCTTAACTGTGAACCTTTGAGTGTTTACATTGAAAGCTACATAAAAACAAGGGTTATTCAGCTCTAAATCTAATATCATATTTGGAAAAAAGAATTAAATGATAAACTGTTTTGGATAAATTTGCACCACTTGGTTGCGGATGTACTGAAAAATGTCATTTACTCTTTGAGATACCACTTTCCTCAACAACATGGCTCTGCGTGAGGCCTTCTATGACACTGAACTGAACGGGACATTCTTTAGCAAAACTTAAAGATGTTTTGATTCAGAGGTCTGACATTTGGCCACTGCACTGGGTTCATTAAATACAAATAATTAGTAAACTCTGTCCAGAAACACTTGTCTGGTTCCATCATCTGTGTGTATTTCTCATGTCAAAATTCAAAATCTATAAAGATGAGCTTTGACAAAAAGAAAATAATAGACAATAATATTGCCAAATGTTGAATGCCAGCATGCGCACCAGGTTGCAATCACAGTGTCTGTATTGGCTTCTGTGAAATAATTTTGTCATCTAAACATTGCCTGAACATCTTACCAGCTCCACTTAGACTTGATTTGAATCCTTTTTTGTCGCCTCTTCTTTGCTAAAACCTCTTTACAGCAGCTGTGCCCTTTCGTCATTATAGTTTGCATCTAATCTATAATTGCTCAGTTTAAGCCCACAGTCTCTACTTTCCTCACCACTTTTATAAGAACTAAAACATCTCATCCACAGTTTCCTGCACTTCTCCCTCCCTCCCTTCTGCTTGTGATCCGGCTCTATCGTATTCTCGCCACTCTATTGTCTCAGCCCATTAAGCAGACACAAATCCGTTTGGAGAGCGCAGCCTGGCTCTGCTGGGTCGTGGTGCAGGCAGCAGGGGGCTCTCAGGAGAGGTAGGCTCTGGGCTGTGGTGGGGGAAATCCATTTAAACCTGTGCCACAAGAGTGGCCCATGTGCACTTAATGAACAATACTGTTGTCCAACACACACATGCTGTACTGAGACACCCCCATGCTTCACTCTCACCTCCTCCTACGTCAATGCGTCTAACCCAGCAATAAAAAACAAACATAAATTTTACACATAATGTTGCCATCTATGAGGAAGGGGTAGTCAGAGAGCAGTTGAAGATTTATACTTACATCTTTAAGGACTTATGGCTTGTGGGACTGTGGGCTACAAATACAGGTGAAAGCCGAAAGCGTTGTGAGGCTAAGTGACACTAATCTGCATGATTTTGTATTTGACAGGAGCGAGTGCTTTTCCTATAACCAACAAGTTGGCAACAGCTACGGGACAAATTCAATTTCATTTAGTTGAGCAAACACACCATTCTTAAGTTTAGCTGGCAGAGCACATGCCACTAAAGCTGTATTGTGCCAATAAAGTTTTTCTACCATGTTTCATGTGACCACATTTGTAGTCTACAACAATTAAATACAGCACAGCTTCACTTGACACTGGCAGCAGAGCTGGCCTGTGAGTGCAGTCGAGTGGAGGAGGACTTGTGGCTGCATTGCTCTTATAGCTTTGATGAGACAGAACAGAGAGAAGAGCAACAGTGATGGCCGCGGGCTCCTCTCTGTCAGATCGCCTCCTGTCTGTGCAGGGCCTGCGACCTGTTGACACCAGCGTCACAGGCAAACTGCTCATATAGGACTCACTCAGGGTGCTAACAGCCTAATGCCATTTTCTCACATGTAAGCTTTCTGCAACTTTCAAATGCATTTTCTGTGAAAAGTTTCAAACATCAGATGCTTTTGTGGAAAGGAGCCCTGGCTCCAGTCACAGAGCGACACTGATAAAGCAGCAGCAGATTGTTTTATCCCATTAGACAAGGCCTCGTCAACAGCCAGCAACTGAGCTCGGAATTTTGCTTCAATCTCCAGCTGATCCTGCCCTTGGCATCAGCACACCCCAGTTTACTCTGCTTCTCACAGTGCACCCAAATGAATGATGCTGCAGTGAGAAAGCAGCCAATCTGACCAAAACCATATTTATAAAGGGAGAGAATCACAGCTGGGTTATGACCCAAATTAAAGGGTCTGTATTATGCACTTTTAATTCTTTTTATAATGCAACATATAGTAGGTATCTTTTAATCTTTAGCAGAACATAAATTGATAAGTTAAAACATAAATGAGCACTTGCACCTTGAATGCAGGACAATACAGAACTCACATGTGGATCAATCAATCAAAATACAACTTTGAGTAAGATAATGTTGAGGCAACATTTTTATAACAGGGGTAAAAGTTATTTTTACATAATGACCCAATTAATATCTGGTGATTGTACACATAAGGCCAAATCATTTCTTGGGTGGTATGTACTGTGAAAAGTTTGAAAGCTCTGGATAAGGAGTAAAGGTGTAAATTACTGAAACATGTACAAACTAAAGCATAACAACTTCTGATGATTATGTGCCATTTTGCCCTTTCAATGTTCAATTAAGCATCAGACAACCTAAGAAGGCAACACTAAGAAGAAATAACCTCATTTTCTAATCATTATACTGTACATAAAAATTATAGCTATAGCTATTACAGCGATTTCGATATGAGGCTGTAGAAAACTGGGCACTATTACGGTTGTGTAAATGTGCTACACAAAGCCTTAGATACAGCTGGTGAAAGGTGCCAGAGAAATGGTGCTCATTAAATGGTGCTGCTAATACTGTTGAGACAAACCTTGTAAGAACTGAGGTGTAAATGTGACTGATACAGCTGAGCTTGGAGTGAATGAAGAGCCTACCTTGGCAGCCATGATCATGGAGGAGCCTCCGCGGACCCCGAGGATGGGAATGTGTGTCTGGGCTGAGATGAAGTCCAAGATCTGAGCGATGGCCTCCTGGTCTGTGTCGTCTCCAAACACCACACCCTGCAGCCAGTGCTCTGTCATCAGATCACAGATGCTTTTGATGATGCTTTTAGGGTCGGTCTCGTTCATGGTAAGCACCTCCACATTAGGGGCCAGGTGGAGGAAATCCTCCTTCTCCCGAGCCCCGGCCAGCGCCACCTCACTGGAATTGCCCACAAGCACCACAGCAATGCTGAGGCCGCGTAGGATGTTGGGCAGAGCCATGTGGTGTGGCGGAGGCTGGGGAATAGGGATGTACTGGGCACCACCGCCGCCTCCTCCGCCCTTTTCTCTTCGGGAGGAGTAGGCAGAAGGAAGCTGCAGTAGCAGCAGCAGCAGAGAAAGGTGGAGCAGGGTGCGGGAGCAGCGCTGGGCCCAGAGCCTCCGTGGAGGGTGTTCCTGGACACAAGAGTAGTCCAAGCTGTGGCCCCCTTTCTTCTCTCCATCGTAGAGGAAAGGGCAGGGGCTGCCACAGACAGGCATGGTAGGGTGTCGGGAGAGGAGGTCCTGCACACAAAAAAACATACAGCTTGACATAGGCTTATGTAGCTTAGATAGAAAAAAATGAGAACCTCCATGCATGTTGTGAATCCACAAATAGGCTTAAAGAAGAGAATGTAGAATGAGGGAAACAAGGACAAAATGTAGCTAGAGCCAATAAGACACATGAGAGTGGAGGTCGCACTTGACACACATGAATAGTGCATTAACACATCCAGTGTAACATAGTATGATGACATACAGTTTACGTACTATCCCACATGGATCAATAATTCAAGTGAACGTTTGCTAGCAGCAAAATGACTATATATTATAGAGGATGTAAACGTAGAGGGAACGCAGAGCGTAGAATCCAAGAGAATCAAACGAGCGTCTGCTGTGTGCCAGCACCGGCTGACTGGCAAACAGTTTGGAGTCAGATGAGTGACACAGACAGACTGATGGACCATCAAACTGATTAAATAAGTGACGGTGAAGGTGCTTGGAGTAATATGCCAGGCTTGGATATTCTTTCTTTTCACTACTGGCAGTTCACAGACACTTACTGCTGACCAAACTTAAACCACATGAACGGGGCTGTATGCTTATGTGAAGAGTGGGCGGGAGCATGTCCTTCTGAATTTAAAAGCATTTAGTTTGTGTAGGTGTTCACTCAGTAGGAATGGAGCTTTCGTAGGCAGACACAGAGGAGGTGCTGCTGTTCATAAATTTACAATGTTTTAATGATAAAACCTGGCACTTGAACATGATCAACACATGTGATACAGCATGTGGCACAGCAATGACAATTGCTTGTTTGGGGAAAACAAATAGTTTTTAGGTTCATCAGAACTTCCATGAAAAGTATAGCAGAAGAAGGGAAATGGCTATGAAGAATGAGCCCTGAGGTCTTTCCTTTAAAACCCTCTTCAGACCCTGGTACATTTTGTTTCTCTCGGAGGTCAAAGAAGAATTTGAGATTTATAATGAGAACAGACTTTGCACTTAGGTTGTACTTAGCAGTTTGAAATAGACAAAATGATTAATCTTGTTGGTTAAAAGAGAAATAGATAGCAAAACAAAAAATAAACAATAAAAACAAAACATAAACAATTCTATTATACATAATCATGTTGTCAAACATAATGTCAAACATTAAAAGTCATATTCTTCCAAATCAATTTTTTATGCTTTTCATGTCATTGTAACTTTAAAAAAATATATAGTCTCCCATTATTGATATATCAATCTGAACAGCTTTACACAGAATAACATGCAGTATAGAAATGTACAACACTTGAATCTGTTCATATGTTTTTCCAACCATAGGACTGATTGACTTGAATGTGAGTATGACTTGGAGAATGGTTTGACGACAGTGTAAGTATGACATGAACCATTTGAGAAAAGTAAGTTCAGGACATGGCGGAGAGTGAGCGATGCCCTCATTGATTCTGGACTGTGGCAGCACTCTGTTTCCATGGCAACAATTAAAATAGACGTACATGCGTGCACAGAGATGGTCAGAGCGATACACTTACAGAGCAATAAGCATTGATCAAGCAAATGGGGCAACTTGGTGTTCTGTAGAACGGACTCCTCTCATTGCATTAGCATAGAGACCCTATGAATACAAACACTTCATCTACAATCTTATTCCCTGTCATAACACAGCACTCACCCCCAGGCTAAAAGAAGAGACACGGCTTAGCTCCAATCAGGATTCCCAGCGATTCAAATAGGGAATCACAGAAAGGCCGTCGGAAAGTAAAAGGTTATGACACTAACTAACCCCATTTCTGCCATCACTCGCTTTCACGTCTCACCCACCATTTGCTCCATTAGCCACACTAGTGCACACAGCATCCGTATCAGTTACACATGAGCAGAGGACGGATCACCCAGAAGACCACTGTTCACACCAGATACCAAGATATTTTTGTTGAAGCAACATCTAAACCATATATATATATATATATATATATATATATATATATATATATATATATATATATATATATATATATGTAAGCGACCAATGCAACAAGATGCAGGCACTCAATGTAAGAACATGTTGTTACAGGTAGTTAGCCGCGCCGCCAAACAACGCCAAGTTTGAGTGGGTCCTAATGGACGATAAACGGTGGAACAGCCATTAATGAACGTCAGGGCGAACACTTACTGTTGTAGGGAAAAGTTGATGGAGCAGGCGATATGAGGCATGAAGCACCCAATATGGCCCTGTAATTGGCTCTCCTCTTCTTTTATTATTATAATGTCTACTGTTCATAAATCACTGTATAGAATTAGTAAGGTCTGTACTGCATGTGCCAAATAGATGCCAGCACATGATATTTTAAACACTAACTAAGAAATACAAGTTTTAAATTGAGAAATGTTCAAACTGTGTAACTCAACAGCTCAACAATGTGTGAATTCATGATTGTAATCGGAGCTTGCAGGGGCTTGCTCTACCTAGTGTCTTTTTAGGATTGACAGTTAAGGTCTTGAAAACAGCAAAAAAACATAACCTTAAAGGGCTCAAATCTGCAACAATGCGGGTTTTGTTTCAAGGCAGAAAGAAACACAGCCCATAGTGAAATTAAAAACATTTTTAGTCCATGGTACCATTTGAAGACAGCGAGCCCCAGTGCCCTGGGGATGTGACAGGCCACAACACAGGTCACTGCACAGCATACTGATGAGAGTTGCTGGACAGTGAAGTTTAAGCAAAGCAAAGTTACTCAGGAAAAAGAGAGACATGCAGCATAAACAGCGGACTAATGTGTAAGTCTGTAAGAAGAGCGCTATTAAATAATGGTGATGGCGAGAACTGCCTACGCCGTCTGTGGAGGAGGCTGCTGAGGTTGTTTGGATCTGCCATAGCTAATGTGCACACACTGCCACTCATTAACCTGCCTCTACAAAGGAAACAATACCACCACCAGACACACCTCATGCTCTGAACTAACTGATGTGACTGACTATTTATTCAGTGTCTAATTCACAGGTGAAAAAATGTCAAACTCAAAAAGGAATATATAATGTACAAAACTGTAACATAAAATTAACCTACTTATGAGTTGTTTTACCAGAATGCATGTGATCTGATTTGTCCATTGTTTTCTCCTCATGTTGTGGTCTTCCATGGGCATGGACTGTAGCAGAAGTCTCCATGTTATCATTTTGTCTCTCAGAACGACACTTCCGCTCAATTCTCCCACTTGTCTCTCTGGTGTGCTCGCACCCTCTCATTATGTGCCAAGTGTCAGGTTTGTCAATGGTGCTATTTGCATGGAAACTGGAGGACAAAGGCAACTGGCAATTTCTCACATTTACGGCTTGGCTTGATATTTAGGAGGACAGAAAGAGATTGTACTGAAAGAGTCTGTCTCTGTATCTCTTTGGATGACTTTAAACACTTTATGGGCCATGTACATTATCTTAAGTGCTAAGCCAGGCGTGTAGCACAGCCCTCATTTCTCCTTTTAATTGAAATGAAAATGTCACAATGAGTTGTTCTTGTATCAGTTGTGATAAAAGAGCTTGGGGCAGACAGAATATATTTAAAAAGCCTCCAATGTGTTCACAACGATCAATACACCAAGACAATTAAACTTTTCTTTTACCATTAGAGTGACAATACTCACAACAGAATTGTGTTTCCAGGCATTTGTCTGACTTTAACACAGAATATTCAGGTTTCCAGTGACAGAGATTATTTGACCAACACAGGTTACCCCAACTATACTATCATAGTAAATAATGGCCCTGTTTAAATATTGGAGAAAAATAATGTATGACTAAATCAGAGCCATCCAAAATCTTGTCCAAGGCACCAAAAGAACTGGGGCCGAACAGCTCTGGCTTGGGGTTAGATGGTTTCACATGGAGCACACTGTGTGGGGCAGTGTGGTGTCAGGAGGGAGACGAGGCCTGGCCCAGAACATGCCCTGACGTGATAAAAGACAACGTTACCTGGACAACCTCTTTGACCACACAGCGGCACAGAGCCGTGGGGGCAGACATCACATGCTCTGGACCTAGCGGGATTCAGGCACACCACTGATCAAGTGATGCATATATGACCTGCCTGTGAGCTTTGGTGAAGATTTGATGCGCAGATGTTTGTCCTATATGGGATAATTACAACTGGAGCAGCGGGAGCACAGCCCAGAGGGGTACAGACACTTCCTGTGCAGGGCTATGATTACGCCTCTGCACACAACATCTTCTGCTTTATTTATATGTCAAGTGTCTGCCTCCATGATGAACACCCAGAGTCCTCTTTGACCTATCTTCTACGGCGCTGACATTCTCTACAAAAAATAAAAAATAAAAAATTGAAAATGTTATTGTTAAAAGGGGAACAGGTTAACATTGTCCTCCCAAAGTCAGATATAGTCTTCCAAATGATGCACAAACAACAAGCTTATTTTTTCTGTGATCCAAGTTTGCACACAATATGGTTGTCTTATTCACCATTTATAAAAGATGCTACAAAGCCATTTTATGAGATAACAATATTTTTATATCATAAGATAGTATCGTACTTTGGTCGAATACAACCCATTTTGCTATTCACCTGGTACAGCTGATCTAAACTCTGA